CACAGTACACACGCATATTATATAAAGAAAAACTTTTATTTTGGATGCGATTAATCGCAATTAATTGTTTGACAGCTCTAAAGTGTACATTTAAATGCTTACAACTAAACACTATCATATCTGTTTAGGCTAATGTTATCTAGCTAGCGATGATATCTTGTAAACAACATCATAATGGTATTCTTGATAATCGATAACTTACCTTCCTAGTCATGAATATAACTGGATATGTACACAGGGTTGCCAACTTTGGTTGCCTGGCTGGAGTGCGATTAGTTACAGTTGTGCAGTAAAAATTCACTTTAAAGATTCACTTTTTAGTCATGAAGAATAGCATGAAAAATCCTGGCAGAAAACAAAGACTTTTTAAGATGAAAATGACATGAAATTAACATTTTAACCAGTAGATGGCGGCAGAGGATCACTCATCGGCTCAACTCCCTAGTTTTTTCAAGTCTTGCTTTTGGATTTATCATAAAATGAATATTGTAACCCATTTTAGTACTTTTACTGTACTGAAGTATAAAGTATAGCAAGTGCAGGAATTAAGTCACAAAGTCATTCAAAAAATAAATGAATTAAGCCCAGACACCAACAGCCTAGAAGGGTTAATTATTTAAATACTTTACTAGTTAACTACAAATTAAACAAGTTAATTATTAATGGTATAACAATCAAATAATAATGCATTAAATATTTTGAAATAATTTTAGATTTAATTTAAAAACTACTTTTTTAAAAGTTTTATCTTTAACTGTAGAAACGGCTAAATACATTCAGCCAATACAGACTTGCTGCTATAGTTTTGTTACTCTGAATTTCAACCCGATCTCATGAAAGTGCGTATAAATAGTACGCTAAATAAAAACGAAAACTCGTGGTATTGATACGCAAAAATGGACTTTGGCGTGTATATGCTACGCGATGGGTAGGTTTAGGATTGTGGGGTAGATGCGTATCATGTGTACGCGAAAACTGCGTATCATATGCACACCAAACACATGCGTATCATATGCACACGAAAACTGCGTATCATATGCACGCCAAACACATGCGTATCATATGCACACGAAAACTGCGTATTACCGTATTGGCCCGAATATAAGACGACCCCCCTTTTTCCAGATGTACCTTTTGGAAAAAGGCTTTTTAAAAACCAAATCTTGTTTTTTCTCAGTAAAACACATTTTGTCTTCAATTATTTTCATATTGCATATTTTTCCTATTTTCATTTTTGTTTTGAAAGTATGGTAAAAACTGGTAAAATGTACCAACAATCACATTTAAAAAAAATACCCTTTTTGATATACCATAAAAAAAAAAAATTAAAAAAAAATTGCCCATCTGAATTAGGACATTTAGGCTATCCATCTAATAGTAGCCTACCAAAATCTTATTAACAGTAGAAGTTAAATCTTACTGTAGGCTAGTCTTCAAATCTGGGTACTGTCTTACGTTTTAAAATCACAAAGAGAGTTTGGTGCCATCAGGCTAACGTGACAGTCACGACTCATGCAGCGTTAAGGTTTTCTTTTTCTTTTGTTTTCACTCGCGATCTTTACGAGTTTTCGTTTTTATTTGGCGTACTATTTATACGCATTTTCATGCACAGGATTATTTTTGACATCGGTTTGTCAGAGAGTTCGTTCCGTCCATTGCTACAGTTATCACTGTCAATCATAGCAATTTAGCGGATTCACTCGCCTAATTTTGTTTGTCATTCCTGAAACAGTATACGGTAGTATGTAGTATATAGTAAGGTCCTCTTGGCCCTCCCCTTATAGCACAGCTGATTTTGACAGTTGACTGAGCTGGCTTATCTAAAACCAGGAAGTATCCGTGCATACTAGTGTTGGGTCGTTCTTGAACGATTCGTTCATTTTGAACGAATCTTTAATGTGACTCGGGAAGAACGAGTCGTCTCGGGGAGTGATTCGTTCAGTCGCGCATGCGCAACATCCTATAGGTTCTGTACTGGAATTAGTAGGGATGTAACGATTCACTCAACTCACGATTCGATTCACGATTTATTTTTTTAACAAAATGAGATTTAAGACAAATTATAAATTAAATGTGTTCTTTTATTATTGCTTGGACAAAATGCTGCACATTTCTTTGTGAAATTGAAATATAACACTATAATAATATACTAATATAGCACTTGCATATTACTGCTCTTTTGTTGGTTTTGATTGCTTCTATTGTCCTCATTTGTTAGTCGCTTTGGACAAAAGCGTCTGCTAAATAACAAAATTTAAATTTAATGTAAATGTAAATAACAAAACTAAATAGAAATTTTAAAACAAGCCCCAAATCAAATAAATAAGTAGCACAAATAAAATAAATCTCTTCATATAAACAAACTAAGGCTTTGTCTGTGCTCTTTCCATTTAAAATTAGAGGCAACCACTGCATTTTAATCACAAAGATGCTGCATACATGGCATACATGCAGTTTTTAATCTAAATTACATTGTATAATCTCGAAATTTGAAGCAAAAACAGAATGGTTTGAATGGTTTGATGTGAAACTATACATAAAAAATATCTGCATGAAACAGAAACCGAGCTGAATGAGACGCAGATTCACTCTCTGCCAGCAGGTGGCGCTTAAAGCGTTTCCTTGGTTACCGCTGTAAACAAAGCAGTGCTGCACTTATTAACTTTAATATGCGTTATACAGAGGCAAGAGGAAAAGAAAAAATACCATCTAAACTTTTCTAAAGACAGTAAGTTCCCCTCAGACATACATAAACTCCTACACCTAAATGAATCGCGATTTGTTTAGCATCTCAACCGATTTAAATCGTCACATATTTGAATCGATTTTCAACCGGCTCACGGTTAATCGTTACATCCCTAGTCATGAATATTCAATATTCATTAGTCAAAAAGTGTAGGAAACCTGTTAAAATAATTTTTCCCTTTTTTAAATGAAAAAAGCCCTTATGGGAGTCAAGTTAAGTGATTTTTATTTTGTTGTTGGGTATTTCTTCTTCTGTGCAGCAATACTACTTTATGCATGTATTCGCTGATGACCCAAGAAGTATCTGGACACCTACACCACTTAAAATATATGAATATTACTAAATTAGATACAAAATATCAAATCAGGTGGGAAAAAGCACAAAATGTCACATTGCTCTTGGTAATAAGCACTTCTTTCAAGTCAAATTTTTTTTTACAAAAAGCATTGCATTGCAAGCTTTGCATTTTCTATTTATTTATTTTTATATTTGTTATTCATAATTAAGACAAAGCATATGGGGGTAAAACATATGGGTTTCTGGTTCATGTACA